GTCATCCCCCGGCTGTCAAATTTTGTCGGCCTGGAGGGTCAGGAGGAATTGCTTCTCTGCCTGGTTCGAGCACAGAGTTGCTACCAAACCGTACTAAGGATTCAGGATTGGGTGCCAGGCACATATCTTTGTGTAATGGCCCAGGCAGGCAGGATAGGCCAGCCTCCCCAACTTCCATAACCAGGTGGTTTACTGCAACTGTATTGAAGGTCTATAATACTTTAACTCTCTCGACACAGAGCTTGCGGAGACACCAAATACGAGTGCATGAGGTCTGTGCGATTGCTAACTCACTAGTGCTAGTGTCAGCCCCCCCCACCGAGCACACACGGAGGGAAGGCTCTGGAGAACGCAGAACGTCTTTATCAACTACCACCTAAGAGACACCGAATCCATTGAGGAAGGTCTCTTTAGGTTGGGTCCCGTCGTAGCGGGTCAGTCTTGGTTTGCACAATGGTCCCTGCAATAATTCAGTCTCGGCATTTTTTGTGGACAGATTTCTCTACCATCAGCACTCCCCTGGAAGCTCCTAGGTCCTGCTTTGCGGCCTATGCCCTCATGCAGAACTGTTTCGGTCTTTACTTCGAAAGCTTACTACCCCCAAAATTGGGTTGGGGTCTAGCTTACCTGGGCACACCGAACTCTGCCACCGTAGCAGCATTTTGGCTTCTTGCTTCACATAGTTCATACCCACCAAAGACTCCAGTTCCCCCCAACCACCCCACTCTTTCCATAGCGTTGGTCTAAGTCCTTGAGGCGGAGAGAAAGGAACCAGAGTGATTAATCTATGGTGGGTATGAACTATGTGAATAGGCGGGTTTGGAGAACCCTCTACCTAATTTACCTATATTATTAAAATCCTGCACAGTGTGATACATATTACACCAGAAAATGAAAGAAAATTTTGTCTAAATTATCAAAATGCTCAATTGGCAAAAATGCCCTTAATGTATACCATTCATATCAACTCTATGGAGGATTTCAGCTGGGATGTGTTAACATTTCTTGTAGATGATACAATGAATCTTTGTTTTGTTCAGTCACCACTAAAAACAGCATCAACATTGTTATTGTTGTTTCTATTTATAGATCTTCATGTCGC